CTGATATTTATAATTAAGTTGACATTGTAATGTTATATTCAAATTAACAATTGGAGTATTTTTTCAAAACTGTTCAAAAGTTGTAGATTTAAACTGATAATGGTTTACATACAACAACATTTTAAATCTAATAAAATAAGTATAATATATATTAAAAGTTAAAGACATAACTTTATAAATATAAGTAATATATTATTTTAAAATTGAAATTTAATTTATTTATGAATACACTTTAGGTTTGATATTTATGTTGGGTTTTAAGCATTCTAACACTCGTAGGGTGTACATGCAACCCTAAATACCTTATATCTATGTTTTCTCTATTATACATGCAAAGTTGAAGTTTCCAAGGTATTACCTTACAACTAGCATACAATTGTCAAGAATCTAGTTGGGATAACATACCTTATGGTGGAGCTTGATGTCTTGATGTATTTAGCCTTAAGAGCTTATCCCTAATAGTGTGGAAGCCTCAAGTGGAATCATAACACATCATGGACAAAGAATGAACTTGAGAGAGAATCTCCATGCACCAAAAACTCCATGAACTCTAGACTAGAGTAAGTCACAGTTTTTGGGCTAGAAGCATCAATTTATATGTGTGAGGAATCCCAGAGACATGGGTATAACCCATAACCCAAATCCATACCCATGGGTTTAATGATCCATGGTTCATGTGGCCTAACTCTTTATGTATCCATACATAAACTTGGTTCAACATGGATCATAAGCCCAACACATATAAATATAACTAATTAACTTAATTACTCCACATAGATTTAATTAGTCTCTTTTGATCACTAAATTAACTCCAAATTAATTTTTGATCAATACTAATTAAAACTTATGATTTCATATTAATATATTATAACCATGCAAATTGAATTGGTACCCTTAATTTTATCATCCGATCTATGTGTCGGTTAACCACACACGCTCCACCAATCTATGATAAAACTTAAGTCACCCATTGCCACACATTGTCAGTCCCATGTTAGTGTGCCAGTTAACCACACACGCTCCACTAATAACTTAACAAGGGTGCAAAGTGTAATTTCATGGGTTAGCACCAAATTCACATTTTCCTAAGTAACTAAGATTGGGAATTCATAAGAGTTTAGTTACTTAGTATTTATCATTATACTTTTAATGAAAGGAGAATTAGAGTCATATCCTACCCGTTTGGCTAACGACCCTCGACCAGTCAAGGAAGCGCTAGGTGAGAGTGGATACCCATTAAACGGCCATTTTATAGGCAGTAACCTTATACCCCCTTATAGACAAGCTTCGTGAATGAGGCCTACTAATGGTAAGACCGACTTGCTCTTATACATATATATAATCATTAACTTTTAATATTATAATAGTATAAGGTTGAATTTTAAACTTTTAAAATTCTAAGGTTAAATTTGGAATTAAAGTATACATGGGGAGGTAACTTTGCAAATTCCAAAACTTGAGGGAAAGTTTTGAAACTATTCAAAACTCTTGGTTTTTCATAACTTATGAGTTTAATAAAAGTTAAAAAAAAAAAAAAAAAAAAACTTTTAGTGAAGGTATTCAAAACTCTTGGATATCCATAACTTGAGGACAAGTTATGGAGTCCATAAAAACTATTTATAATAAAATGACTCTTCATTTTTGTAACCTAAGGCATTTTTATGAGTTTTAAGATTCATAAATGTGACTTTTCATATAACCTGAGGACAAGTTACAAAAAAACACATTTTATGAACAATTTTAAGATCAATTTCAATTGAAAACAACTAACACATATTTTCCATTAATCTAAAATAACTCATAAAACAAGATAACAAAAAAAACTTTTGTAATTCATAATTTGAGGACAAATTATGGACTCCATTAAAATACATTTAGATCAATAATTAACTAACAAACACTTTTGTAAATAATTCCTATGATCTACCAAAACTTATAAGCATGAACAATCCATATCAACAATTTTCAAGAATCATATAAAGATATATATAAAACTTGAAACTTTGATAATAACTTTGAAATTTGTTTACCATAATCATCACCACCTTTAAAAACAAGTTTTATAAGTCCAAAACAGTTAAAGGTAATGATTCTAAACAAATTCCAGCACCAAAACTTGAAAATCTGCACTCAGAAGCACCAACTCATCGAGTACATGAATTGACTCGGTGAGTTGGTTGAAGATACACATGAACTCATCGAGTTCCTTCATGGACTCGGTGAGTCCACTATCCAGTGAGCAGTTTTTTGATATTTTCAACAAACAACATCAAGTATAATTGAAAACAACCTTAGGCTCTGATACAACTGTTGGGTTTTGAGCATTCTAACACTCCTAAGGTGTACATGCAACCCTAAATACCTTGGATCTATGTTTTCTCTATTATACATGCAAAGTTGAAGTTTCCAATGTATTACCTTACAACTAGCATATAATTGTCAAGAATCTAGTTGGGATAACATACCTTATGGTGGAGCTTGATGTCTTGATATATCTAGCCTTAAGAGCTTAGCCCCAATAGTGTGGAAGCCTCAAGTGGAATCACAACACATCATGGACAAAGAATGAAATTGAGAGAGAGTCTCCATGCACCAAAAACTCCATGAACTCTAGACTAGAGTAAGTCACAATTTTTAGGCTAGAAGCATCTATTTATATGTGCGAGGAATCCAAGAGTCATGGGTATAACCCATAACCCGATTCCATACCCATGTGTTTAATGATCCATGGTTCATGTGGCCCAACTCTTTATGTATCCATACATAAACTTGGTCCAACATGGATCATAAGCCCAACACATATAAATATAACTAATTAACTTAATTAGTCCCCATAGATTTAATTAGTCTCTTTTGATCACTAAATTAATTTCAAATTAATTTTTGATCAATACTAATTAAAACATATGATTTTATATTAATATATTATAACTTATATTATATTAATAAATCATATATAACATCTTCTCTCAAAAGTCCATCGTAACAAATTGCCCTGATGATATGCAACCCAAATGAACCATGCTACTCTCGGGTCAAGTACATACCAATAATAATTATGGGCTTAGACATCTAATCGAACAATTTATTTAACCTTATTAACCAATATATATTTATTATTAGAAAGACACTACAAAATATTACTTTTAACTATTTACAAAATAATGTTTGGGTTGTTTAGGTTTAGTTTCTATAGAAAACAAAATATCACAATTTTTTTTTTTGACTTTATAAATGAAAAACCGCAGGTTTTTCTTTAAATTCGTAGAAAAAAAAAAAAAAGTCAATTTTTTATTTTTTTCCCCTGTGAATTTAAAGAAAAACCTGCGATTTTTTCATATTTAAAGTAAAAAAAAAAAAGTTGTTTGATCTCTAAGTATTTTCTTTATGCATTTTTATTATTTTTAGGGTTTTTTTGTTTTCCATATAACCTTTATATATATATATATATATATATATATATATATATATATATGACTGAATGAGGACTCATTTTAAAGTGAAGATTCGTACGGACACCTTAGAAAATTGAAAAAAAAAATCTAAAATAAATACAAATTATAAAATCGAGCATAGATTTGTGTCCGGGAGAAAAAAATTTGGAAAAAAAAAATTGGATCATTAAAATTGAATCATGGATCATAATAATGCAAAATAAAAAATTAAAATCTAATCATTGATCAATTTTAATGGTGCAAAAAAAATTTCCAATTTTTTTCTCCCGAACATAGATGTATGCTCGATTTTATAATTTGTATTTTTTTAAAATGTCTTCATGAGTACTCACTTTAAAATGAGTCCTCACATGAACTAGACTATATGTGTATATATATATATATATATATATATATATATATATATATATATATATATATATATATATATTATTTGATGCTGTTTGGTTATTTTTGGTTTTTATATAAATAAAACCGCACTGCACCAAAAATCTTTGGTTTGTGCTAAACTAGAAACTGCACCGTCAATTTTAGTTTTAATTTCGATTTATACAAAAAAAAAATTAATTTATTGGTTTTTTTAGTTTTGTTTGGGTTTTATTACCCCTATCAACTATGATTGAAATTGAAACTACAAAGACTTTTAGCAAACCCAAAAAAAAAATTAAAAATTCAATTACCTTTTCTGTAGAATTTGAAACAACAAAATTTTTTAAACTAAAAGAGTAAATTACAAGAATGGACCCTGTGGTTTGAGATAATTTACATGGTTGGTGCATAACTTATTTTTTTTAACTCGAAGATCATTTTGTTTTATTGCTCGTTTGGTTATTATCATATCTAAAAACACTATTTTACCGATATTATTATTTTTTAATTTCATTTTAATCTTATATAGTTAATACTCTTATTAATGGGTCCCACATTCCACCACCTCTAACCCTTCTTTCCCTTCCAACTCACGTCCCTTATCTTTCCTAATTTAAACCTTCAACGAAAAACCATCACCTCCGGTAATAACCTCTTAACCATCGACCAATAGCAATTCCAATCAAGAACGTGTGTTTCCTTAGCTTGAAGCTTCACCACAGTACCAACATCGCCACCTCCGACAACCACCGTTAACTACAACCGGTTACCACCTGTCACGAAATCAAAATCAAGCCTGAAATCAACTTAGAAATCAAACTAAAATCAAAACATAAAACATTACCAAAATAAAAATGTGAATTCAAAACTCAAAACTAAAACCAAATCAAAACTGAAAACCAAACCTTGTAATCAAACCTCAAAATTAAACATAAAATGAGCATTTGCATCCTGGCACAAAATTGCAAAATCAAAAGAGAATCAAAATCAAACATGGAAATCGAACTTGATGAAATCTTGTAACAGGGGTGGGCGGTTGGAATCAGGCCCAAGAAAAAAAAGAGGAGAGAGAGAATCAAAGTTCTTTTAAGAGGGTACCGAGTCACCTATAGTCTGGGTCTCTGTTCCCGAGATTGCTTAACAGCAAACCCCTAACCCCTTTCTCCTCTTGCAACAATGGGTGAAACCTTTAACCAAACAGTTTGCTCTTCATCATCTTCATCTCTATCTACTTGGAAAAGCGATATCTTTGATAGAATCAGACAACAACAGGGTTCATCTTCTTTCTTATGCCGTAGACCAGTTAATCAAGTTTTATCTGTGACTTGCATTCTCTTCTACGCTTTCAAATACATCATCCAATCTCTAAATGTCTCTTCAAATTGTCGCTTACATCCCTTTGTCACATCCAGAGAAGACTACATCTACCTTCACGAACTCTACGAAGCTCTTTGTCAGCTGTAAACTCGCTTAATTTTGTTGCAAAATTTGATAAATTTCTCCCTCAATTTTGTTCGCTTCATCTGCTGCTTTAAAGATAAAAAAAAAAAAGGAAAGATGTGGAAGATGGGCAGGTTGAAAGTAAAATGATCTATTTTATTTATTAAATATTTCTTATTAAATAAATAAGGTATAAACAATAAACAAATTAAAAATGAAATAAAGATGGATAATATAGTCTTTAGGTATGATAAGGACCACAAAAACAAAAAATTAGGATCAAAAACGCAAATTAACCTAAACCATAGGATCTAATTTACTCAAATTAAAAAAATAAATTTGATATTCTTTAGGAGGAGTTTGGTTTAACTTTTTAGAGATCAAAACAAAAAAATCAAGGTTTTTTAACTTTTCAAAAAATTTAATTTTCCTTCTATTCAAAATACAAAATTTGCTTTTAAAAATCTTTTTACCAAACATTTTAGCTTTAATCTTTTCCTAAAAACCCTTTTAACATAGGAAAAGCTAAGCCAAACACCCTTAACCACGTACACAATTTGAAAAAATTCTAATAAGCCGCCTCTTTGCCCGCATGTCTTTTTCATCGGTCTCTCTCCTCTCTCACCTTTGTCCTCCCTCCACTGAAGTCATCCTCCACCGCTGCCCTCCTCACAGACGATGAGTCCTCACTCTCTCTTCCACCGCCCCATTCTCCATACCCTAGCTCAATCGCCGGTGATTTCAGTTCCGATTTCAAAAGCTTAGTGTGATTTCAGTTCCGATTTTATCAGCTTAGAGCGACTTCAGTGATATCAGTTCCGACTTCAACATATTGGAGTGAAGGCGTTTGAAAAACGATCAAAACAACACACAAATCAAACCAACGTTCTTTTAGGTAAGTCTACTAGTCGTTCATCGTTTTCGGAATTGCTGGACAAACTTTTGTCAGCCTTTCTCCTACCAAATCAAGCCAACGTTCCTTTAGGTAAGAATCCGATTGATTTTTATGGGTATCCATTTGTTCTTCATTTAGATGGGTTCGATCCAATTGGGGCATGAACTTGGTTATCTAAGTATAAAGCACATCATTTGGGTTCGATTCAATACGAAGGCAATGTTTTTGTTGGGTTCGGTTTCAGGAAAGTATTATAATATTCAGTGGAATATATAGAATAAAGGGGTCTTTTCAAATTTCAAAATGTTTTTCAAAAAGTAAATAATTAAAAAAATGTTCGGTAAAACTTTTTGAAGTCTTTTTCAAAAAACCAATAACTTGTTTGAATTAAGTGGTCTTTCCCTTTAATACTGTGTTAGATATGTATAAAATTAAGAAAGAAAATCTATTTGGTTTTGCAGCGTTTGAGAAAGTCAAGTCATCAAGAGAAGAGATGAAAGATAAAGGTAAAGGCAAGAGTCAGGATAGAATCAGCACTCTTCCTCAAGACACAATTGAAAAAATTCTGACTCATATGCCAATCCAAGATGCATTGAGGACGAGTATTTTATCAAGGAAATGGAGGCATTGGTGGAAGGGAATGCCTAAACTTGTATTTGATGACAACTACTTGAATACCTCATCAAGTAGCAAAGAAATTAGAAAATATAAGTTTGTCAGTATTAGAATTCAGTATCTCTGTTAATATCAATACAGAAATTGATGATGAGATTGACCAAATAATACTCCATCTTTCAAAGAGCAAAAATATCAAGAAACTAATCTGTAAGTTTTGGTCAAACGACGTCATGAAGTTATTATTTTTTAAGCGCTGCAAGCTACCCTCTGTGTTCTTTTCATTACACAGACTAGAGCACCTACATTTCACACATTGTTTCGTTGAGCTTCCGATAACATTTAATGGATTTATTACCTTGAGGAGTCTCAAGTTATGCGATGTCGTCATCAGTGCGAAGATGCTTCAACAATTACTTACCAATTGCCCAATACTTGAGGAATTTATACTGGTAACTAAGTCCCATATAACCATTTATGAAAGCGCCTTCGGTTGAAGGTTGAAAGTTGAAACCTTCTTACAAAGGTATATTGATGCAGACTGGATGCCAAGACATCTCTTGTGCACTACAAACCAAGTGTACATTTCTTGAGCTATCCAAGTGTACATTTGGGAATGAAGTTGGATCATCTTGAAGAACTTGAGATAACAAGTTTCCATAACCATGCTCAAGAGATGGAGTTTGTGAAACTCATCATGGCTAAGTCGCCTATGCTTAAGAAAGCACGAATAGAACTCAATTCATCTGTTTCTGTGGATGAAGAAAATAAGATGCTTCGAGATTTGCTACGATTAACATTTCCACGTGCGTCACCAAAAGTGGATATCATTATTGAACGCTAAACAATTATATATGTGGATGCAATTGGGCTTTTAGTTTTTTTGTTAAATTTAAGGATAGTTGAAGCACAATGCCTTTATTGTCTTTTTGAACTCGTTTAAATGTCTTTTGTGGATCGATTGTTAATATTATGATAACTGTTGCTTTCTACACTTGCGCTTTGCTCATCAATATTATGACATTTGAAAGAATAATATAACATTTGAAATTGGTGTTATACTATCTATTATTTAACATCAAAATTGTGCCAAGCTTAATATGATAATTTTAGTCTTCAAGATTTCGATCTATACAAACTAACGTATTTAGTAAAACTTAAAATTGACTTATGTCTCACACTACAAATATTCTAATAAAACACACAATTAACTTAAATATTATTGTAACAAAAAATTTATAACACAATTTGTTAGGCTCAATAAATAAAAAGAATCTTTTTGAAAATCTACAAAAAAGAAACATACAAATAATGTATTTTGTGATATATAAATAATATTTATGAATTGAAGGAATTAAATTGTAGCACAATCTTTACATGATTTTGGAGAGAAATTAGGCATTTAGGCTCAATACCAAATTCGCCAAGTTGGGTTGTTGGCTGTTTGGGCCCTAAGTTGCAAATTGGTCTAGCGGCCCTTAATTTGGGCTGTGCATGTCATTTTATCCCTTATATAAAAAATCTTGTTCCAAACCACTATCCGCCCTTAGTAGGGTGGATCTGCGTATAATTTTTTATTTATTCACATAAAATATTTAAAGTTTTAGATTTTATTAATCTTCAACAATCTTTCAAAACACATACATCTGATCCAAACAATTATGTAAAATTCACTTCTTGAATCAACAACTAAAACATAAAATCCTCAAAAAGATTAAACCAAAAAAGATGAGAACGCTAAAGGAGAATATATGGCCGCAACATATTCATCTGATTAATTATTATATAAGCTTTGTAAAAAAAGGGATTATTGTAATAATGGATATTATAACCCTGCTATATACGGCTGAGTTAGAGAAAAAATGACTTTAGAACAAATATATGGATATTTGATATTCAGTTTTGCAAGTGATGGAATATTTACCAAAACGCCGATAATGAAAGCTTCCTTTATACTGCTCCAAAAAACACATCAACTTGTGCAATCTGCAATAGGGTGCTAGAAATATTGGTGAGGTGTTGAGGAGCAGGAGTGTGTGTGTGTGTGTGTGGGGGGGGGGGGGGGGAGGGAGAAACGGAACTGGAATTTGATAACCGTAAAATGCATAGTGTGTGTGTGTATATATATATATATATATATATATATAATAGTAAATTCTGATTTGGTGTATTTAAAATCAGTTACAATTTGATCATTTTTGTTTATTTGGAATACAATTGTTGTGATATATTGGAGATGATGGAGTCGAAACTGCAGGAGGGATCCATGTGAGTATCTTCTCTTGTTATCACAATGCAAAAGAGAGAAATGACCATTAGTCAATGTCCGGGAGGAGTTCCCGGGACGAAGCTCCAACGATCAAGTCAGTATGAGATATGAGAAAGATGGTAGAAGATTACAGGAAAGAGAGAATTTCGCCCCCTCCTTGTCAGGAAGAAGGATCCTTTTATACATGTTTCAGAGGCGTGTTCCTTAACCGATTATGTTGAGGATTCCCTTGTGAGGTGCAATGTGGCGGACCCATATTGGTAGGGTCCTTCGTCACGTCTTTTGCCTCATTCTACCATTGGCTGGGAGGGGATCTTCTAAATGTTTATGAAGATCGTGGCGATTGTCTAATAGGCGAGTGGGATTTTGTGATTGGTCCCACATTTATCGGGATGTAACTTCCTAGAAAAGGTGCGGTTCTGCACCTTAACCGCCATATCAGCACTCTTCGCGTTGGCGAAGGCCTGTACTTGGCTTTAGTCTAGGTTCTAACTAGGCCATGCCCAGTGTTAGTTTGACTTCTTTCTTGACGTTCCTCATAGGGATACGTTACAAGTCCCTTATACTCGTAGGTGTATGCGTCAGCTTGACAGCGTCGCCGTTCGAGTCTATATCTCAACACGTGTATGCCCGGGATTAGTTCCATCGCTTGATAGGCTTTAGGCAACGCCGTCAATGTGTGTCGGTCCCGTTGAGGGACGGTTTGTGACGCCAGTTTCGCCTTAAAATTCCCCCTTTTCCCTCAGGCTCTTCATCCTCACATCCCCATTTTGGCTTTGTTGTATCAACCCGGGTATCCTGTTAATTTTCTTTTCGATTGTTCATCCGTATCTCGACAATGGACCGTTATGGTAGAGTCCCTACTACCGAGGAGTTCTAATTTCTGCAAGATCTCTTCGGCTTCCTACCAGAGCACGATGTAATGATTCTGATAAAGGAAGTGTCAATCTAACATCGTCCTCAAGAGAAGGTGGGGGTTCTGATCCCTCTATTTGAAGCGGGATTACGCTTGCCGCCGTCCGATTTCTTCAACATGATTATGGACCACTATGGCTTTTTCGTTGACGAGTTGACCCCTAGCGCTGTTAATAAAATCATCGTTTTTTAACCGATTTGTCGATCTCTGGGTTATGTACCAACTTTTTGTGTTTTCAATTACTTCTTCTATTCGACTACAAATTCTGGGGTCCGCACTTTAGCGAAGAGAAGAGGCATCCGTCAATTGATTTTTGAACAAGACGCTCCGAGGAAAAATTGGTGTGAGGCAATTTAATCGAGAAAAGAAATGAAATCAGAGTTGTAATGAATTAAGAACACATAGAGTAAATATAATCTAGTTTAAGCTATATTATGCTTTCATGATACAAAGAGTATTCAGACAAAAGACAAGCAAAAGTTCTATCTAGCTTATGTATCGATCCGTATTTATAGCAAAATAGAAAGCACACAAAAAATACAAAGGACTAAAACATTACAGTTTCGAAACAAATATGCCTTTGTAATAACTTTACTTAACTAACGAAACTGCCCTATGAACTTCGACACCTTACAACAATATTCGACATCTACAATCTTCCCCTTTGTAAGCAATGACAAAATCAATTCATAAGAATTTGAGCGGTTGTATTCATTGTTCTTCTTATCGCTAAGTACCAGTTCATCACTTTCTCCGGTTCATCTTTATCACCATTGTTATTCTTCTTACAACTGCTCATACGCACAATTAAGTTCGTATATTGTGCAGTTATGTATCGTTCAACATCACCTACTTGAAACAAAAACTTTGTTGATTTTTCTTTCTCGCTTTTTCCCACAAAAACAATTCCCATTGGATTCAAACATATTTCACCATCAACATATTTTTTCTGATCTGTTTGACTCTTCAATAATGACTGAGAGACTGTAATTTCCTTTCCCATTGACAGAGCCAACTCTACATCTGTTAATTCTAGACAATCATAGTAATTGTCTATGAAAATTTTGATATGTTCAAGACCAATCGAAATTCATCGGTACTTGTTCCTTGCAGTTGCGAAGCATCCATATCTTTGAGAATCATTTCAACTTGAATAAGATCATTCAAGTTCATCAGAGGAAAATCAGCAATGGAGAAGTCAAAAGTAACATTATTAGCCCTCACAACATGATATCGGAAATTTTGTAGCATATTCTCGAAAAGCACATCCTTAGTTATGCTCAACACTCGAACTATCTTGACAAGGGACCAAATATCATCCTGTTCCTTTCCCAACACAACATGGAACCTCAACTTCATATGTATAAAATCGTCTTTATTCTCAAATTTATCGATAATTTTATATTGTGCTGTTATGAACATCATCTTATTGATTGGGAAGTCACTCTTGCTTCTATATTCTCATAACTGTGCAACCTTCTCATATCACCTTTGTTCAAAGTAGGAGGAGCATCCTGATGAAGCCTCAAAATACTTTGAATTTGACATTGCTTCTCCATCTCAGCTTCAATTGCAACTTTTCTTTCTTCCTTAAAAGGTTTTGTACTTATGCCTTTTCCCTTCCCTTTATCTGCATCTGAGGTAGGTTTCGAAGAACTTAAACCACCAGCACCACCTGACAAGCCAATAACAATCCCTTTGATAATAGGTCTTGTTGTTGTTGTTGTTGTTGTTGTTGTTGTTGCCATGATTGGTTCAACCTTCTTTAGTATTGAAGTAGGAATCTGATTTGAATAATTTTACCAACCACCTTCGCATCTTCATTAGATTTTCCAGAAGCTCCTTCCCCGATACCAACATTTATTTTTTCTCCCCCTTACACCCCTATGACAACAGGTGGGGCATTTGTTGGTAGGAGATTGATCAGATTCGACAACGAGGCCAATTCCTTTTGAATAGTTGACTCCAATAAACGAAACTTCTAAGTTAAAAACTCAGGAGTTAGCAGAGAAGAAGAACCAGACTTCGAGATTAACTCTTTAAATTCACTAGTCATAACATCAAGCTTCCCAAAACTTTTAACATCATCTGAAACTTTGTGGTCGATCTTAGGAACAAGAGACTGATAACATTCAACAATTTTGGTTACAGCTCGTGCAACAACATCAACCTTCGTGAGTAGAGAAGAGTAATTTCTACTTAACTCATAAATTTCCTTTGCCATATCAACCTTCAACTCTTTAAGCTTTCGATTTACACCTTCCCGAATAGTTTTCACATCCTGTACAAAAAGAACATGATGTTCCTTTGCAACTGTTTTCAGTTCCTTGAGCTCCCCATTAAAGGTCTCGGATTGAGCCTTCACTAACAACTTGTTATTTTTATCCATAACATCAAGCGTGTGTTAAAGTCGAGACTCTTGAGCTTTTAGCAACACATCCATTTTGTTGTTAAGACAAAGCTCTTGAGCTTTTAACATCATGTCTACTTAAATTCCGGAAACATAATGTTTACTTCCTAAATCCGCTTGAAACTGAAGTAATGAATTGAGCTTCTTGCTGAGAATTTTGAACTGCTTGCCTAGCATATGATCCAAGATGTCTTCTTCTTCAGGATCAAATTCTAACTCAGCAAAAGAAGCTCCAAAACCTCCATCATCAGTTTCATCATCAGTTGCCATTTTAGATGGTTCAGTGGATTGGGAAGTAAATAAGGAAGTGATGGGTTGTAAAATAGTTTCGAAAGTGGGAGAATTGGTGGATGTAGTGACATTCGAAACAAAAGGTGGTAAAGAAGTAGTAGTGGTGGAAATGATTGAAGTTTCGAAAGTAGATGAAACAATAATGGGCAAAGTACCTTGTGTTGTATTAGTTTGAACTGATTGATTCGATACACCATCACCCATGATGACATTTGCATCCGTATTAGATACGTGTGTTGGGATGCCTGAAGTTCAAACCTCCTCATAAGATGACTTGGTTAATGAAACCTCGGGAGATATGATTGTTGTCTGCTCAGGTGTAGATTGCATTGCAGAATCACCAAGATTAGTAGTTGTGTCCACTACAAAAGTTGTCACAGAGCTAGCATAACATCCTATCTCCTCGAAAATCAATTTGGTAGGAGAATTCCTCTTAGGTGACAAAGTAACCAACGGAGACTCAGGTACAATCTCATCATCCATTGAATCTTCTTGAATAACTAACTTCCTCTTCTTTTGTATCTTTGATATGAGATTGGCAACATCTTCTGCATGACATTTCTTTAAAGATGGGGAAACTAGTGTAGGTATTTCACGAATCTAAACACTTCGTCTACCAATTTGTGGTTTACGAGTGACACCTTTTGACAAAACACCAGCTGAACGTTCAGGATAAAGTCATGGTTTGTGAGCTTTCTTCTTGAGACGCTTTAGAACTCCCGATTTTGAAAGTATCAAATCCTTTGAAGGACCATCTATTTCAGCCTCAATAGGTTTTACCTTTTTCTTCGAAATTTTATCTCCTTCACCAGACTTCTTCTTTGCAGGAGACGTAGTCTTCTTTGGTTCCTGAACAGGTTTTGAAGGACTAGATTCAACAACTTTCTTGGAATTTCGTGATTTATTTGAAGAACTTTCATCTGAACGTGAAAACCCCAGTCTCGATTAAAGGATTAACTATCTGCATATATGCCATCAACACAGAATTCGAAGGATCAACCTTTTTGAGCATTGCATCTGGAATGCGAGCTACTGTTGGAAATTCCTTAACATCATCTTCAACAGCCTTTGGAAAATTATACTTTGCAAACTCAACCTTTTGTTCATCAGCAGACACCGGAATTGTAACAATCCATTATTTCAAGTCAATGTGATAGTTTAGATCAACCATTGTAACTCATTTTTGAAATAATAATATGATATATTAAATTAAGATGAAAATAAGTGTCAAAAATAAATTGCTTAATAAACCCAATATCTATGAATAAAGTGGTAGTATTCGTGACAAGGATTCCGAAAATATAAAGAACACTGAAATTTGAGTTATAACGGAGAAGTTATGACTCATCGAAGTTTCGCGATAGAACTAGCACGACACTTTCTGTCATAAAAAGTGAGCTTACAATAAAACACTTTTTAGCCTTAACAATCTAAATGAGAGTCGTAGTATACGTTAAACCGTGAACGTACATAAAAAGAACGTCCAAATCTGACTTTGTATAAGGAAGTTATGATTTTTCAAAGATTCAGCACAACAGTATACAACCCAAAAATTGAATTAAAGATTGAGTGATTCTTAGACGACACAACCAAAACAAGAATCGAAGATCTCGTCAATAGTAATTCAACTGTAAAAAGACAGGCGAAAACGGACGTCGGATGAAGAATTTTTGAAATTTTAACGAACTTTTCCTGTCTCAGCCTGTTAAAAATATAACATTAAAAATAAAATGAAAGTTAGCCGACGGAGTCTAAACGAAAGTTGTAGAGTATAATGTCACCTATGCGTCGATTGAAGAACATCAAAATCAGAGCTCGTATGCGAAAGATATGAATTTTTGAAGTTCTGGGCACAAACTTCGAGGCTGACCGAAGTCGTACGCCTAGTGTACAAAGTTACGCCCTGCTTACTCGGAAGCAAGGTCCAAAACTGGCCATGTCGACCCCTTTCTTCGGACTGAGGCACGTATCTCGCACCATCGACACGTCCGAAGCCCAGAAACCGAACAGAGGACAAGTAATGTGAGCCACTATTTCATGGCATAACAATATATTTGTTGTGTCACGTTTTGTAACCAGAGTACCCTGGAGGAAGAGCGTGAGTTTGTGTATAGATCTACATAGGATTGACTATCCTACACCTTGTTGCTAACTACAGTGGGACCTATAGGTCTACGGGTGACAAATGTCATACTATTTTGACGTCTTTTGATCGTCATGTTTCCTTACAGTCAATCAAGCATGGTTATAACCTCATCACATTTTACCTAAATTAACCAGTTCAGTGTTAAAGGTAGTTAAAACATAAGTAGTATAAATTATCAGTACTACTATAAGTCTTCATTTTTCATCACATTCATTCAATGAATTTATCACATGAGATAAGCAAACTATTTTCTAGTAAAGATAGTTACTAATATGGAAAACATACATTTTATAATATTTCAAGTACAAACATACACTTTACATCATTTTAAAGAGAAACAAAGTACACAAACAGGTCGGTCTTGGAGAGTAGACTACATGTCATCTAAAGGAGAGAAAATAGGATTTTCTGGAAAGGATTCAAACTATTTCAAACATTTTTACAAGACATTACAAACATTTTCAAGAAACTAATACAAACATTTGACACTAAATACTTATGAACTCACCAGCTTAAATGTTGATCTACACTTTCAAAATACCTTGTATTCTCAGGTCGATAGTAGATAGGTACAAATGACCAGCTTTTTGAGAAGACGGAGCATATTCAAGACTCGTCTTTATTTTGATTACATATTTTTGGTGTCTTACAACTTTACACATAACACACTTGTATTAACTATAATATTAATACAACAGATGGTGTTGTTGCTTGTTTTAGTATTTTGCATTGTTATGATACTGTACATGATGTCCTCCGCCCCTGAACGTTTCCACCGTTCAGGTTTTGGGGTGTGACACAGTAGTAGGTACAGTAGTAGCATGAACTGCCACTAACTGTTGTTTTTTTGAGGGCTCCTAAGAAGATTGGCCTTTCTTCTTATTCCAATTTTTCTTCTTGATGTAGTTGTTATTTCCCATGGGTTGTTTTGAAGCAGCTACCACAGAGTTTCGATTGGCTCCATTGTTAATAAGTGATTGTGCCAGCTCTTTGGCACTGTCAAACGTAACCGGCTTATAATTAATAACACTACTTTGAATCTAAGGTGACAGTACCCAGATGTATCTTTCAATCTTTTTGCTCTCCATAGCAACCATTTCTGGGCATAGGATCGCTAAATCACTGAACCTATTGGTGTAGGTTGTTATGTCTGAACTGACCATCGTAAGACCCTATAGCTCTTGCTCGATCTTTTGAATTTCACCTCGTGGACAATATTCCTGCTTCAGCATTTTCTTCAAGTTCTTCCAACTTATCGAGTTAGGACACTACTAGTGTCAGGGCCTTAACATGGCCGTTCCACCATAATAGGGCTCTATCAACAAAGGTACGAGCAACGAATTTAACCTTGCTACCTTCCGGGCAGGAGCAGATTTCGAAAACTACTTATGTCTTCTCAATCCATTGCCTTAACACCATAACTCCCCCAGTCCCATTGAAGGTCCTAGGTTTGGCGTTAGTAAAGTCCTTGTAGGTACACGCCCGATGGTGCCCGTGACTTTCACCATGATTGGAGGGATGTGCTCCACTCCCTGACCCACTTGTAACAAGGATATTTATGTGGGACAAAGCAATTGCGATAGCTGCGGTGATCGCCGCCTGAAACATGGCAGCATCAAATTGAGGTGGTGGTGGCGGAGGTGGTGTTGGCGCTTCATTAACATTGACACGCCGGAGGTTTCTCCGAGGAGACATCTTTTACTATAAAAAATTGAAAGATGAAACAATTGTAAGATATCAAGAATGAACATGAATTTGATATCTCAAAACTAAAACACTTAGATTAATATGGATCTTGTATTCAAGTCATCATAAGATACACTTATGAATTTCGGTTGATACACAATGAAGTAAAACATAATTCAAATACTTATATATATGTATGTATATATATATATATATATATTGGATACATAACGTTGTTTGGAAAATTGGACCTTACTAAAGGTCTAACATACACAAAATTACAAAAAGTAATACATTTAACCGAATTCTTAATTTTATAACAAAATTGGAAGTAGTGCCAACACTACTTGCTACGTGAACTGCATCGAGTACTAGACTCTGCTCCCTGGTGTCCGTGTCCTATTTTTCTCTTTTCTATGGTAGATTGATGCTCCCGTAACTCTGTTATCTCGGTTAGGGCATCATTCATTTGGTTCTGTAGTGCCTCGGTGTGGGCTCGGGTGTCATCATGAACTCCATCTAAACGACGAATATCTGCAGCGTTGATTTGTGCCCGTTGTGTTGACTTCTAGGATCCGGTTTATCGAAACCCTCGCCTGGTCGGTTTGGCGAGCTATACAATGTACAATGACAGGGAGTTCCCTGTCGGTTGAACCTCCGTTACTGAGGTTGTAGAAGTCTCAACACATTCCATAGGGTGGGCGCTGCCCTGCTGTCGACTCTAGTGGTATATGTGATCTGCCTAAACTAGTGTCGGTCCTTGATATCCTTACCTGCCTGCGGGAGGTGGGATGGTTGGTGGGGGATTGTACATTGCGTGTTCTGTGTCAGTACCCTATGAATCTTCATCTTCTTCCGATTCCACCGGTTCCTCTTCTTCTTCCTCTTCTATGATTTCTTCTGGATCCTCTTCTACCCACTATTCGTTACCTTGATTCGAAAAGTACGGGTCTCCGGGGATATGAAATCCAGCCATTGATATCTAAGCGAGAATAAGAAATGTCTAATATAATCAGTACAGGTAATAAGCAAATAAAAATTTCTACGAGGGAAACTTACAGTTAACAGATAATGGGTTCTTGGTATATATTGCCTAAAATACTCTTATAGTATTTTAACTTTATGTTTTCTTTTAGAGTTATTTTGTATATGTTGTTGGTAACTTTTAGACTTGTTGCAACACTACTATCACTCCTAATCACATGTTGGTAGTATCTCAAACCAATATAGTTGATCAGGCTATATTATATGATTACATAACTGTCCAAGTTTGACTGTAATGTCCAACATCCAAATACTTCTAAGTTGTAATGACTGTGATAATGTTCTTGTATGTTTAAGTGTTAGTATACTTTCTTGTAAAAATACTTAAAATTTTAAACTATACTTGTAGTCATAGCTTTCAACCCCAATGTATTTATAGTTTGTATATCTTTTATGAATTGATATACTAGTTCACTATAAACAATGCTTTGATACCAATATGTCACACCCCCAAACCAGACGGTGGAAACGTCCGGGGGTGGATGACTTCATTTGTAGTATCACAACACATGCATATAGTAATCAAAGTACAAACAACTATTGTATTGAAAAGTATAAGTTTATACATGTGTTCAATCCCAGTATATTGACACCAAAATAGTTATAACAAAACATTGAAGACTTTACTCAAAAACAACACCAACTTCTCAAAAGCTCGGGGAGTACCTGCTACTGATTCCCTGAGAATACAAGTAATTTGAAAAGAGAGTATCAACATAAAGTTGAGTGAGTGCATAAGTATGTATGTTTTGAAAGTATGTTTTTTGTTCTTTGAATATGTTAATTATTTCCAGAAAATCCTATATTTTCTGTTGTATATGAAAAGAAGTTTTAATCCCATAAAACCGTTATGTTTGTAAATTAGTATTCTGAATTTATATTTCTTTATAAAACCTGTAAATGTGATTGTGCCTGGCTGTTACCGCTGTTATTGTAAACTGTAAACTGTATATTTGTAAACTAGTACTTTGAAACTGTACTTATGTTTTAATTAATTATACACTAACCGTATTGTTAATATCTTTTATATGAGTTATTATAACCATACAGGACGATGGTGGACTGAAACAAACATATTGAAGGCATTTTAAAAATGGTTGATAACAATTGTCACTCATAGGCGTGTATGCCCGACTGTAGCTAGCAGCCCGAGTGCGAGGTTGTCAATCCCATATAGATCTATATACAACTTATTTCGATCCCCGACTGGAGACTCTGGTTATAATATCATGACTTTAACTATGTTGTTTAACTGAATTAAACAACCTGATACGTTGACTCATAAAAATCATATAGACGTTACATGTATAATAGTAATGAAAACATATTCCTTATGAAATAATTGATCGATATTATATTCCTTGTTTAGTATATTTGAAATGTGTTGTAAGTTATTCCTACTTGTGTAGTTTTGAATTCAACCCTTGTTTTTGTAAAACAATGTACTTATATATACTTGACTCGTGTATTAGTATTCTTGTATCATAAATTATACCTATTATAATTTATATGTAAGTTTTGTATTGATACTAACTGTTCATGAATGTAACCCCTTGCTCAACAAGTTACAAAGGGTATTGAAACTGAATGAAATAATATATATATATATATATATATATATATATATATATATATATATATATATATATATATATATATATAACTAAAATTTAAACGACATTTAGACAAATAACCGTTACCCTAAATCCACATCCAAACAAGGAAAAGGAAATAAAGCGAGTTATCAATCCTAAGCCCTTTAAATCATATATATATATATATATATATATATATATATATATATATATATATGATCTTTAGGGAAAATATAAGTTTGTATAACATTTTAAAGAATCTAACATTTTGAAATATTTGTGATGACTTAATGTCATTTTAACACTATTTGAAACCATATGTAACACAAAATCTTTATGTTGGACTTGTATTCTGCCCCTTTAAAACTGTAAATATTATGAAAATACGGGGGTAGAAACTCACTTGGTAAGAGTGACAAAAAGTTAGACTTCACGTGAGCAGTGCTTCGACTGGAAAGAGGTTAGTTTTTTGAGAATTTCAAGGCTTCGGGATTTCGTCGGAGCTTGGA